GCAAGAAAATCCTAACCAAAACAAATTATTAGGTATATCATAGTAAAAATGTGTATTAATGAAGAAAAAAGCAAAGGTCTTAAAAGCAACAAAAGAAAGTAAAATCTTGGAGAGTGGTGCTGGGAGTCTCGTGGGCGCGGTGCTGTTACTCACAGTCAGGCGGCAGCACAGCACACTGCGCCTTAGCAGACCCTGCCACCACAGCCCTTGCACTGGCACATCCACCCTCGCTCGCTCTGCTCTTCCTCCCTTTGCTAGCTCACACCATGGCTGATCAGCTGACTGAATAGCAGGTTGCTGAATTCAAGGAAGCTTTCTCCCTATTGGATAAAGATGGTGATGGCACCATCACAACAAAGGAATTAGGAACTGTCATGAGGTCACTAGGTCAAAACCCAACAGAAGCTGAGCTGCAGGATATGATCAACGAAGTGGATGCCAATGGTAATGGCACCACTGACTTCTCAGAATTTTTAACTATGATGGCTAGAAAAATGAAAGATACAGATAGCGAAGAAGAAATCCGTGAGGCATAACGAGTCTTTGACAAGGATGGAAATGGGTACATCGGTGCAGCGGTTACATCATGTCATGACAAACTTAGGAGAAAAGCTAACAGATGAAGAAGTAGATGAAATGAGCTGAGAAGCAGATATTGATGGTGACAGACAAGCCAACTATGAAGAATTCGTACAAATGATGACTGCAAAATGACCTACTTTCAACTACTTCCCCCCCTCCGAAGAATCAAATTGAATCTTTTACTTACCTCTTGCAAAAAAAAAAAAAAAAAAGAAAAAAGTTCATTTATTCATTCTGTTTCTATATAGCAAAACTGAATGTCAAAAGTACCTTCTGTCCACACACAAAATTTGCATGTTTGGTTAGTGGTCCTGTCCCCTAAAGATCAAGCTATACATCAGTTTTACAATATAAATAACTGTACTACCTTAATGATAAGGAAGCACTTGGTGGACTCCTTAAAGTTCCATTTGCTAATGATTAATACAATGTCTGGGCTGGTCAGTTTTTCATGCATGCAGCTTGACAACTGAGCATAGTCAAGCATTTGTATTAAAATTGAAAAATGAAAAAACGAATTCAAAACCTAAAAAAAAAAAAAGAAAGTAAAATCTTCAGAAATAAGTGAAGATTTTTAAATATACAATTAATATCAAAAGAACTACACTTTTATGCCTAGTATTTAGGAAATGAAATTTCAGGAATACTGTAATAGTGCTAAATAACCAAAGGCCTAAAAGCAAACATCAAAGTTATGACCTGTGTGGAAAACCACAAAGCTTTAGATAATAAGGACCAAATGAAAGGTAAACATGTCCATAAATTATAATAAAGATTTAAATTAATCCTAAATAGAACCACAGACTCAGTAGAAAAAAAATTAAATTCCAGCAAGATTTTAGGTTATTTTTTTCTCTGATGAACACTGACAAACTTGGCTTCATTTAGAAAATGCAAAGAGGAAAAAGCAGCTAGTTTTGTGAAAAAACAGCATCAAATTATAGTAAATAGTGTGCATTTGAGGACAAATAATAATCAATGGAGTCCAGAAAGAGTTCTACACATACACTGCTATTTAACTCCTAACAAATGCAATAGAAAAAGGAAACAAATTGCAGTTGTACTAAGTCAACTAAATATCCATTAGGAAAGCATCAAATCCTGACCCCCATACTTCAAACCATATCCCCAAATAAATTCCAAATGGACAAGAGATCTATAACATGAAAGGCAAAAACAAAACAAAACAAAGCAAAAAAACACTTTTGGAAAAATTATCTTCATACCTTTGAGGTATGTTAGAATTTTTAAATCAAGTTTATTGGTTCAGTTTAGATATACAAAGTGAGCACATTCATCATAAGGAGTTTGAATCAGTACTATAGATTCCTTTTCCCCCCAAACTCCTCCCCTCCGTTCAATCCCTCCTTCCCACCTTACTTACAAGGCTTTGTTTTCATTTTATCCTTTTCCTTTCCTTCCTTTCCCCTCCCTAGTTCCTCTTTCCTTGTGAACAATTTCTTCCTATTTCACAGTATCTACTGTACATTTTGGTCCTTATTTACTCGTTCAGTTTCTCATGCCCAGGAGACAATGCAACATTTACTCTACATACGTGTCCGATTTATTTCACTTAATATATTTCACTTAATATAATGAGTATGGTCCCAAAGTGCAATCATTTACCTAGAAATGTCTCAAGTTTATCCTTCTGTTAAGATTATGACACAAAGAACTTTAAGCCATAAAACAAAGAACAAAAAGGCAAAACTGAGCTAGGTATGGTTAGCTCATGCTTTTAGGCCCAGATACAGTGGAGGCTGAGATGAGATCACTGGAGCCCAAATTTAAGAGCATCCCAAACAACACAGTAGGACCCCGTACCAAAATAAGAAGATAAACTCAAGCAAAAAAAAAAAAAGGAAAGAGAAAAGAAAATTGGACAATATGAATATTTTATTTATAAAACAAAAAAGATGAAGAAAGTGAGGGCCGGCAAGATAGCTCAGCGGTCTAAAGCACCTGCTTAGGCAAAATTTAGGCAGGTGCAGGGGACTGCAGTTTGATCTCTGGCACCACATACCATGCCAGCCTTACCCTCAGGGTGAGCCAGCCCCCTCCAAAAAAAATAAGAAAGTGAAAAGGCAAGAGAAATTATCTGTAATGCATATAAACAGATAAAACATACAATGGTGTGTATATGTGAATACATATAAAATACTGTGTACTAATTAGAAAAAAAGGATCAGTATGGTAGTATATACCGTACTCCCTCCCTTTTGCTCCTCGGCCTTCTGCCTAAAATCAAGTGTAGTACCTGTAATCTAGCACTAGGCAAGGCTGAGGCAGGAGGACTGCAAGTTTCAGTTCAGCCTGGGCAATTGAGTAAGACTGTCTCAATGGAAAAAGTGTGCAAGATATAGCTCAGCAGGAACGCCCTGCATTCAACCCTTAGTCTCACCAAAATCCACTAGAAAAAAAAAAAAAAGAAAGGCTGGTGGACACCTGGGAGGAAGCATCATCAGGCTCTCTTCCGACTGCCGTCATGTCTAAGTCAGAGTCTCCCAAGGAGCCCGAACAACTACGGAAGCTCTTCATCGGAGGGCTGAGTTTTGAAACAACTGATGAGAGTCTGAGGAGCCACTATGAGCAATGGGGACCACTCACAGACCGCATGGTAATGAGAGACCCGAACACCAAGCGTTCCAGGGGTTTTGGGTTTGTCACTTATGCCACTGTGGAGGAGGTGGATGCAGCCATAAATGCAAGGCCACACAAAGTGGACGGAAGAGTTGTGGAACCAAAGAGAGCTGTCTCAAGAGAAGATTCTCAAAGACCAGGTGCCCACTTAACGGTGAAGAAGATCTTTGTTGGTGTCATTAAAGAAAATACTGAAGAACATCACCTACGAGATTATTTTGAAAAATATGGGAAAATCAAAGTGAATGAAATTATGACTGACCGAGGCAGTGGAAAAAAGAGAGGCTTTGCTTTTGTAACCTTTGATGACCATGACTCTGTGGATAAGATTGTCATTCAAAAATACCACACTGTGAACGGCCACAACTGTGAAGTGAGGAAAGCCCTGTCCAAGCAGATGGCTAGTGCTTCTTCCAACCAAAGAGGTCGAAGTAGTTCTGGAAACTTTGGTGGTGGTCGTGGAGGAGGTTTTGGTGGCAATGACAGTTTTGGTCGCAGAGGAAACTTCAGTGATCGAGGTGGCTTTGGTGGCAGCCATGGTGGGGGTGGATATGGTGGCAGTGGAGATGGCTACAATGGATTTGGTAATGATGGAAGCAATTATGGAGGTGGAAGCTATAATGAATTTGGCAATTACAACAGTCAGTCTTCAAATTTTGGACCCATGAAGGGAGGAAACTTTGGAGGCAGAAGCTCTGGGCCCTCCGGTGGTGGAGGCCAATATTTTACCAAACCACGAAATCAAGGTGGCTATGGTGGCTCCAGCAGCAGCAGTAGCTGTGACAGTGGCAGAAGGTTTTAAACACTTCCAGGAAACAAAGCTTAGCAGGAGAGGAGAGCCAGAGAAGTGAAGGGAAGCTACAGGTTACAACAGATTTGTGAACTCAGCCAAGCACAGTGGTGGCAGGGCCTCGCTGCTACAAAGAAAACATATTTTAGACAATACTCATGTGTATGGGCAAAAAACTCGAGGATTGTATTTGTGACTAATTGTATAACAGGTTATTTTAGTTTCTGTTCTGTGGAAAGTGTAAAGCATTCCAACAAAGGGTTTTAATGTAGACCTTTTTTTGCACCCATGCTGTTGATTGCTAAATGTAATAGTCTGATCATGATGCTGAATAAATGTGTCTTTTTTTAAATGTGCTGTGTAAAGTTAGTCTACTCTGAAGCCATCTTGGTTAACATCCCCAACAGTGTGAAGTAGAATTCCTTCAGGGTGATGCCAGGTTCCATTTAAAATTTCTTTACAATTGCTTGGTTAAAGAAGTCATTGTCTTCAGAAACCTTGGTGTAGCTGAACTGACAGTTACTGTTGTGACCTCTGAATTTGACCACTGAAAAGGTCACCCAAGCAAACAGTCAGCTACTTGGTTAAAAAAATGATTGTTGGCACATCCTATATATCTAAATTTAATAATGGTACCAGATACAATGATAGATGGGATTGAAGCTGTGTATCATCCATTATCATGTGTAATCAATAAACGATTTAATTCTCTTGAATGGAAGAAAAAAACAGGAAATCACACACAAAAATAGTACTTAAATGGCCAATAAGGATATAAAAAGGTGGAGAACTTCATCAAAATCATGCAAACTTACTAAGTTACTACTGCCCATCTAGCAAAATAGCTAAAGTGAAAAGAACAGTAGCCTGTATTGGTAAAGACTTGGAGAGCTGTAACTCACACTGCTTGTGCACAGTAAAATACAAGGACTTGAGAAAACTGTTAATTTTCTAAAACCAGTCGCACATATATCCTATGACTCAATAACTGTACTCCTAGGTATATACCCAGGTATTCATGTGTACAAAATAAGAATGTTCAACATTTTTCATTAATAGTCTTGTATTTATAAGACTATCCAAATATCTATTTATAACAGAAAAAAGTTAATACATAAATGCTATTCTGTTCACAATGAAATATATACCAACAAAAATCTACAAATATATTGTTACATATACAAATGTACATGTATCAATGCAACAGTAACATTACCAAATTTCATAAACATAACAATGCACAAAAGAACACATGCTCATATAAATTCAACAAAAGGTATAATTTTTTAAAGGTATGATTAATATACTATGTTAAGAGACTATGATTAAACTGACTTGCTCTGGGAGCAGGGAAATAATGACTGAGAAGCAGGACAAAGAACGCCTCCAGGGTGGTATGCTGGGGTATGTGGCTGGGTGACATGGTCATGCCGTTTTTGCCAAAGTTCACTGAACCATACATTTAAAATGTATGTGCTATTATATTTAATACAAAATTGACATTTATTTATTTATTTATTCATTTATTTTGGTTCAGTGAACTTTGGCACCCTTGCTAAGCAATTCTGATGAGTTGAAACAACAGTCCACTTCAGTTCAGTCTATGGCAACCCCAGTCAACACTCACAGACTCATTAGCTGTTGAGACGTTTCCAGTTATAGCTATATTCAGGTAAACTGCTAATTTGTTCAGAAGATATCTTCAGCTTTCAGAAACTGTTCTTGAAATGTCTACTGATAGGCAGCCTTCCCAGACATAGCATCTCTCCCTCTTTCACAGCTTTACATAGTCATTCATTTACAATAGTCTGTGAAGCTTTTTCCTTTTCTCAAAAAAACAAAGCAGTTGAGGACATTTGTACAGCATCAAAGACCAAAGATTTTAGGCCTGTGGACTGATCATAGTCTCTGTGGCAACCTCTCTACTGTCAGCAGCCATGCTGTTTCTATTGAAAGCAGCCATAACAATATTCTAACACAGCTCTATTCAGAAAAACATGCAGCAAGCCTGTGTGCCACAATTTGTCAATCAGCTCTAAATCCAACTTAGATCTCTTCATGCATCCACGTCATTATAATTATTCTGAATAGTGACACTGCTATTATTAATTAAAGCTGAGACATTTTACACACGCGTTTGGGAAATACCAGTAACAACAAGAAGTATACAAATACTCCATCCTTTATTGGTTAACTAGAAAAATTCAGCTGACTAGAGCATACGCATATCAACCTATCAAGACTATGAAAAAAATGTACAAGGAACAGCAATGTTAGAATTGCAATGATTTTAATTCTGTATATTTATAATATTTATCTGTAACATACCTGGTATTCTTGTAATATGTTTCTTTAAGGTACATAATGAAAGCAACACAATTTTATGAGTGTAGTTTTTCAGTTAGTCTGGAACTGAAAATACTTAGACTACAGTATTCTATGTTCTACTTAAATTTTTTTTCTATCAATGAAATAGATAAACTGTTTTATTTACCTGTCGGTTCCTTTCATCCATTATGCGTGTGATTTGTATTTTCTTCCGCCCCATTTTCAGTCACCTTTCCTTCCTTATATTCCGAATATTTAATCCAAAAATTAATTTTCTTCAATACCCTAATGCATCATACACAGCTTCTATGATTTCAGCTTCTAATCCAAGGGCTACAGCTGAAATTTTTCTACAAGATCTAAAAGAAAACAAAAATTAGAAGATTTAAGTTATATAAATTTGCAAGCCATAAAAATGTTATGCACATTTCAAATCTACTTTTATGCTGCACACTGCATATCTAGGTAAAACTTCTGATTATATAAAATTAATAAATATGTCATTAGTTTTATTCTTGTTAAAGTAATACAATTATAATGCTTGAGGTTTTCTTGATATAAGGAAAGCAACCAAAGCCAACAATTAACTGAGATCTTTCTATGTACCAGGTACTTATCATGGACAAATTTTAGTTCACTCAGCCATTACTACATCCTGTCAAGTTAGTATTATTACCATCTCCACTTTATAAATAGGAATACTAAAATACACAGTAAGGGGCAGAAATCAGACTATGCACTCAACAGTCTGCCTCCCAAATATCTCTTAAGCATTACAGAACTACTTATATACTTCTGATGGATTTCATCCCAGAGAATAACTAATGTAGATGGTCTCCACCTGCCTTTACAAATTCTTCTTGCAAATCACCCTGGCCTCCAGCTAGTTACTATTTGTAAATCCCCAAAGACACGAACAGTGATTTTCATAATACACATTTAAATACAATAATATTTCCTTGTCGATTTAATAAACACTTTTTGGTTAGTCAAAATTCAGTTAGGCTCTCAACTGCCTGATGAAGCCAAGACCAATTTCCCTTGGTACAATAAAGCACAACAGGTCTGAGACCATGTGTGAAAGCACGTATGTGTATATTCCAAGTTGCCTTTCCTCTGAAACTAAATCTTTCAAAGTTTAAAAGTCTTCAAGGCTTTTGAAATTGCAGTTTATCTCTCTGGTAGGACTGGCAGTGATCACCTGAATGATCTGGGTGGTAGATGTTGCACTTGAAAACCCAGTGCTTTTCAAACGTACACAGGACAGGATAGGCCCAGACATGCAGGTGCACACATGCCTTTGGTGGGCAGACCAACCAGAACCCATCACACCCAGAAAGGGCCAGCCCAGAAACAGGGGCAAAAGCCACACGCCTTTGGCTGGAGGACCAAACAACCCATGACACCTAGAACAGATGGTTATACAGTGAGGCCAACAATGCAGAAGTGTCTGAAGCGAGAGTAAAGAGCTAGCAGTTAAGGTTTCCAACAGTTTGGCCCCCACATCCAGAGGCCAAGATCTGCTCCATATCCAACACAATTCCATGGCAACCCTGGCTGCAGCACGCAGCACAATTCCGGGACCTGATAAGGACACTATCACAGAGCCGTCAACTCTAGAGGTATTTTGCTACTTTTATTCTCCTTTTATTGTCTGACTTGCTATCCCTTCCCAACCTGGCTGAAAGTCCCGTATATTGTGGTTATTTTTGGTTTGACTTTTTTTTTTTTTCCCTCTCTCTCCTCTTTCTTGAGTCTACTTTTCTTCTTTGCTTGCTTCCTTTCTTTTTTAAAATTTTTTATTTGTATTTTAGGGAAGAGTCTACAGGGTGTTCAGAGTCTCACTACTAGATCAGACTCATAGTGATCCACCTGTTTACAGCCTCCCAAGAGCTGGTATTACAGGCGTGCCGAGGATGGGTCCGGTACAGCAGGTCGGCTTCCTTCCTTTTCCATTTTTTTCTTTCTTCTTTTTCTTTTTAAATATTTTATTTATTTGGTACAAGGTCTTGCTACACAGCTGGACTCACAGTGATCCTCCTGTTTCAACTTCCCCAGCGCTGGGATTACAGGTGTGTGCCACCACATCTGGTTTCTGGTGGCTGGCACAGTGTGCCTGGGGTTCCAGGACTGGCAAGGCATGCAGTACCAGGGATCAAATCTGGGTCCTTGTGCTTACCAGACAGGTGGTTAGACCACTGAGCTATCCCCAGCCCCAAAGGAGGGAGGGAGAGATTGATTCACTGATTGACTGACATTGATTTTGAGGTACTGGCAATTTAACTTGACCTTACGCATGCCAAGCAGGGGCTTATGCTGCTGAGCTATGTATCCCCAGCCCTCTTTCTTCCTTTTTTCACATTTAAGTGTTCTTACCTACCTCAACTACCTTTTGAATTTAAACTTTCAAGTGAATAAACATTGTCTCTTCCCATTCTGATTACTCCTTTACATTCTATTTCCGCTTATATTCCACAATTTCACAAAACTCATGTGATCATATTTGACCTCCAGCCTCAACTACATTTGACTCCATTCATCCCTTTATCTTGCCCTCTACCCATCTTCACACACCCAACCCCCACAAAAGAGTAGTATCACTCCACTAAGGGGAAAATTACTGCATACAAGTACACAGTACTTGAAACTATGATTACTAACTATACTTCTTTAGCCAAGATGTCATGTATGTTATAATCAGTTTTTTTCTCCTGTATGATAATGCGATTTTTATGGGGACATAATCACCACCACAAACAAGTACCAAATAATTGGGTGTTCAACCAAACAGTAACTTCGCAAACTTTACAAATTGGGAAGGTAGGTTCTTAGGATAGCTATAAAGAACCTCCTTCATATAGAGGACAAGCTTGAAGAACAGACATATCCTACATAGAAGCCACAATACTAGTGATAAAGCTAAGTGTTATGGTTCTTGTCTAGATGCTCCCCCCCCCTGCCCCCACCAAACACCTCATGCAGTCATGAGGCAGCTTCTAGAGTTTGTGATTAATTCATGATCCAATGTAGGGATTATGGGTATGCGTGCTACCCCTGACCTGGGCTGGGTAATCTGCATTAAAACGTAAGGAGGGGAGAGAGTCCGGCTAGAATCTACAACTGCTGCCCTCCCTTTGCTCTTTGCTGTTTTCCGTCTATGAACTGCTGCCCTCTTCCATGTGCTACTCTGCCTTGGAGCCAGGTGAATATGTACTGAAACCTCCACTAACTGAACTAAATAAACCTTTCCTTTCTTCATTTTGGGTGCCGGATATTTGTCCAAGCAGCAGAGGAAAAGGTAACTAAGACACTATTTATCATAATAAATTAGCAAGCATAAACAAAGAAAATAAAATAAAATTTAAAAAAGAGAAAATAGAAAATAACAAGACACAGAAACAAAATGCATCCACAGGCTCCCAAGCAAACTGGGACAAGCCCCAAGCACAATGAGATAGATAAAACTGCAAGTCAAACACTAGAACTTTGAGAAGGATTTTTTTGGGGGGGAGGGGTGTGCGCCTCAGCCTGCCTTAAGGGTGGGTCTGGTAAGGCAGGTAGAGGTGGGGTTCGAACCACAGTATCCTGTGCCTGACTGCATTTGCATGAGCAAGCACTTAAAGAACTGAGCTAACCAGCAGGCCCCCAAAATGTTGAGAAGGACTTTTTTTTTCTTTTCAAACATGGGAACTGTGAGAGAAGACAGTAAAGAAGTGAAAAAAAACAAGTTGAAAAGACTACAGAGAAAATAATCTCTAAGGTACAAAAAAGAAAGATGCTTAATATAAAAGATATTACAGAAGATACAGATGAAAGAATAGATGAGCTTAGAAAAAATGATGGGAAAAAAATGTCCAACATAGGACAAGAATGGAATCCAAACAGAAATCCAAGAGATTTACCCCTCTATTGAAAGTATATGTAAGACTGAATGAAGGAGAGGGTACAATGTCTTATCTTGAAGACAGAATTGCAGCTAGTCATCATGAAAAGAAAGATACCTTAAAAATAGCAGGAAACCATGAAAAATCAATCCAATGGCTACAAGATGACACAAAGGATAATATAAGATTGACTGGAGTCAGTGAAAAAGCTGGAGATAGCACAAATGCCCAAAAAAAACCTCTTCAGAAAAATAATGGCAGAAAACTTCCCAGGTATGGATAAAGAGTTTAACATACAAATAAGTGAGGCATATATAACACCAATCAGCCATGACCAAAATAAAACTATATCAAGACATATAATAATCAAGATTCCAGAAATTTAGCACAAGAACAGAATCCTAAAACCTGTTAGAGGAAAACAAAACAATACACAACGAAAACCCTATCACTTATACAACAAACCACTTCAGAATCAAGGCAGATTTCTCAACATAAACCTTCAAGTCAAAAAGAGTTTGGCATGAAGTATTTCAAGTCCTGAAAGAAAACAACTTCCGATCCAGAATGAAGTATTCTGTAAAAATATCACTAAAAATTAATGGAGAAATAAGATATTTCCATGACAAAGAACAGCTGAAGAGATTCATGACCATTAAACCAAACCTACAAAGCATACTGAAAGATATTCTACACAGAGATAAAAATGACCACAATTCCAAGAACAACAGAAACAAACCATCAGGCAGGACAAGCAATTAAACAGGGGAAAGCAGGGAACCAAAGACAGGAAAATATCATGAAAAACATAAACTAATACATACCAGTTTTAACATGAATGCAAATGGCCTGAATTTAGCAATCAAAATAAAACAGAATGAGTCAAAAAAACAAGATCCAACAACATGCTGTATACAATAAAAACATTTAATTTAAAAAGGAAGTCACAGACTGAAAATCAAGGAATGAAAAGCAATCCTCCATGCAATAGGAACCCAGAAAAAAGCAGGGGTAACTACTCTGTTTGCAGACAATGTGAATTTCAAATTAAGAATGATCAAGAAAGACAGAGGTCATTATATACTTGTTAGAGGAAAACTTCGAGGAAAAGACACCAGTCATGAATATGTATGCACCAAATAAGAAATCAACCATTTAAGAAAATTAATACACATGAAAACTCAACTAAGTAATAACACAATTGTAATGGGATTAATACCCCTTTGTCACAAAGAGATAGACCAACTAGACAAAAAAAATCAGCAAAGAAATGGATTTAGTAGATGTTTTCAGAGTGTTCCAGCCAACACCACCAGAATACAAATTCTTTTCAGCTGCACATGGGACATTCATTTTTTTTTTCAAAACCGGGAACTGAACTCAGGCCCTTGTGCTTGCCAAGCAAGCACTTATTCTACTGAGTCATCTCCTGGCCCAGGACATTCTCTAAAATAGACAATATACTAGCCCAGAGA